GATACACGCTGGGGGTGGGGATATATATATACTGTTACTGCACAATAGTCTCAACCTAAGATTTAAAAACCCGGTCATCGGGAGCCAGAAAAAGCGGATTCTTAACGACCGGATTTTTATGCGGATTCCCAAAAGCACAACTCAGCTCGTATCTATTGGCTTCCCTTGTTCATTCTATTATAATGAAGTGGCCCGCAGGCGACACTGGTACATGTATTTGAGGGAAGATAGAAAAGAAAGGTTTGCTTAAAAAACAACCCAACCAAAACAACATGCGTATGTATCTCTCTCTCTCTGTGTGTGTGTGTGTGTGTGTGTGTGTGTGTGTGTGTGTGCGTGTGTGTTTGAGAGTTAAGATGGCCAGTACATTCTTGATTTAGCAGTAGCTAGGATTTCCATCGTCACCGATGGGTTTGTTCAAATTTCTAAAACAATAACTCAATAACAGATCTAATAATTGGTTGCTTAACTATTTTTCCACTTCTACTACTTCTTTCTCCTCAGCAATTAGTCGTTTTGCATAATGTTGAACATTTCTCGGGGGCGCTGGTGGTCTAGAGGTTACAGTGTTTCTCTCATGTCCAGGGTTCGAAACCTAACAGCGACGGAAAATGTTCTTCAAAAGTTCTCCTTCCACCTCCTTTCCTGCCCTCTAATCATGCCCTGCTGTCTGCTCTCGTCTCCACTTTCAGCCCCCCCCCCTCTCCTCGGGACTCCCGAATCTCTCTGCAGCCTGTCTACTGCTACTCCTTGGCCCCTTCTTACTGCTATCTTTCAGCCACGCCCCTGATCTTAGGGTACGTAACCTACGATCGAACACCTAGCCTTTTCAGATACGGGTTAAAAATCTCGGAGGGTCCCGTATTCAAGTTGCGCCTGTTCATGATCCTTTGGTGGTCCAAAATCGATAAAAGTAGGCTTGGCCAGCCATCCGAGCAAAATTCGACATTAATTCCTAGTTTAATGTGTCCCCCGCGCTCATATGACTTAATGTAGTTGCGAGCGCCGTAAAACACTTACCAAAAACAAAACAAACATTTCTCCATTACTATTGCGAGTGCAAAACACTGTTATGTCATGACAAAAATATATTTTTTTCCCCTTTTTAAACATTTTTTTGTAAGAATTTTACAGCAGCAGCAACACTATAAGGTCATATAAGTGCCGAAGATTAGAAGTGTTACAAGGGAGTAACAAACACAAAAAAAGATGGAGGGGATAAAGACGATAGATGTTTGATAGAAAAGAAGGAGCAAACCACACCAGAGCACCCACCAACCACCCACTTTTAAACATTTAATTGATAACAAGTTGGCAAGTGCTATAATAGCACTTAAGCACCTCACCGTCGCACACAGGAGCACTGAGTTCTATTCTCGTGTGGGGTAATTTTAAAAATATTATATCTCGATCCCTCTCAGTCTGGATCGGCCCCGGCTATCAGGAATGAAGTCAACCACCTAAATGATCTAAATTGCGTCGATCAGCAGGCATGAAACATTAGCATTAGTAAGGGGGGGGGGGGGAGAGAATGAAAATTAAAGAGAAAAAAAGTAGGCACGCTCATTCCTGTTCCATTTCGTTAGGGTAAGGGTGTAAAACATAAGTATTGAAGTAAATCAGACAGAACGAAAAACAGGTTTTTGCTACTGCTGTCATTTAATTGCATTGCCAGCTTAGAAACAATAGAGAGAGAGAGGGGGGGGGAGAGAGAGAGAGAGAGAGAGAAAGAGAGAGAGAGAGAGAGAGAAAGAGAGAGAAAGAGAGAGAGAGAGAGAGAGAGAGAGAGAGAGAGAGAGAGAGAGAGAGAGAGAGAGAGAGAGAGAGAGAGGGAGGGACGAAATGGAATGAAAGAAAATATCACGGCAAATAATTATATCAAAATTTTTAGCAGCTAAACATGCATGATTATACAATAAAACATAATTTGTATATTTCGTATAATATATATTTGTGTATATTACATATTCAAAACTATAGTCTAGATCACTTGAGGGACTTAAATCAACTCTAGTAACATTTGGAATGGACAGCAGATGGCGTACAGGGAAAGCATTCAGGAAAATAAAATAATATAGCAAAAGCATAGCAAAAAGATCTAGTAATCTAACTGAATGCCTGTGTATACATGTGTGTTCACATTCACATACTTGCATACATGTAATTTGTGTGTATTATATGAATGTGAGGGGGTCTGTGAGTGTGTGTGTGTGTGCGTGTGTGTGTATATGTGTGTCTGTATGTGTCCATGTGTGCATTTGTGTGTGCCTGCATGTAAGATTTGTTAGAGTATAAGTGTGTGCAAGCTTGTGTCTGTGCATGATACCACACAAATTGACTCTACGCTAAAAGTAAAAGCATTGAATAAGTATTATTATAAGGTAAAACTGAGAGAGAGGAGAGGCAGAATAATAAACATTTCATCAATTGAGATGTGATACAGGCAAACATAATGAAGAATTGAAAGACAGAGGAAGACATTGAACAGACACGAAACAAATAAATACACCGATAGGTCACTTTTGATTTATGGAGAGGGGAAGAAAGATCAAAAATAGATTCTGCAAAACTAGTTTCCCTTTTTTTTTTTGTTGTTCCCAACATATAAATATATATATATTATGTGAGGCACCGTGGTGAAATCAGACGCTTGTCAAAATAATGAAATCGGAGAAACTGACATTTTTCCATCAGTTTGGTAATTTTTGTTGAATTTTTGTTTTTTGGTTCAACACCTCTTATGACTATCTAAAAACACATTTCTGTTTGAAATTTACGGAAAAAAATGTAGATTAAATGAACAGAAAAAGTAAGTGTTCAGTTTCCAAGGACTCTCAAGCTATTGAAGTCACCAAACTTTGGCGACTGTTTTTCCACAAATTTTACCTCTAAAACCAGGCGACCCACACCTCCTTCAATCAAATATCTCAACTTCTATTCCAGATACATAGGTTTTGTTTTCATCACCAGCAAATCATCAGAAATGAACAAGCTGTAATTAAGATAGTACCAATTACTCCACATGCTCAAAAATTGACGAGCACCTGATTCCACTACAGTGTGACACACAAACACAAATACATATATGAATAAAAATAGAAATCGGACTACAAATCTCTGTTGTCACATTGTAAAAAGCAACAAATATTACTCAAGGTTTATTAAGGCACAAGAAGTCAATAGAAACCATCTGTTGCATTCTAGTACAGTCAGGAGTAGTTAACTGTGTAAGTTTAACAAGAGAAGAAAGCACTGATGGAATAGCTTACAAAATATCTCAATACATAATATAAGTGCCAAGAAAGACACAGATACTTCGATATGTAGAAAAATGAAAAAATGACATGGGTAGACAAAATGACTTGCCTCTTAAAAGTTATATGCAAGCTCCGGGACAAACAAGGTATGACTAAGAGAGCACAAGAAATAAAGTGTGTGCAAAGAAAAAGAGTGCATCTGTAGAGATCAGTTCACATGTGTGTATGTGCTGGCTTGAAAACATACCCATACATTCAGGTGCGCCAGCGTATATTATATACAGCCTCATAACAAGTGACACTGTCACTCTCTTGTGCCAGGCATAGCATTGGAAATAGAATCCAGACAAGACGAGTGGGATCAATAAATACATTCACAAGCAATTGGTGGAATAGGAGATAACAGAAACAATGGAATTAAATATGAATAAAAACAAAAAGCTTATCTTGATTCATTTTCTGAATACAAAATAAATGTAGAAAACATAAGCATAAATACTTACCAAACCCCCCCCCCCCACCTTCCAAAAACAAAGTTTTAAAAACGTTGCACAATAGAAGCTCCTAGACTTTTGATGCTACTGTACAGAGGAATTGATGAATGACTTGTCACAATGTTTGGTCAAGGACTTAAAGCAAAGTAACATACTGAAATGTTCAAGATGTTGATTAATCTTATCACAGGAAAAAGCTAGAAAATCTAGGTCAGCACATGCCAGCACTGCTGCCCAGAATGTCTTGATTGATGTAACAACTCCCTAATGTCTTGATTGACGTAACACAAATTTTCATATTGAATTCTCCACGAATAACAGTAATATTAATAGTTTGCATGTGTATACCCCCCCTCACCCAACCCTTCCATCTCTTTTTTGTGCATCAACTGAACTAACATTCAGCAAAAACTGTGAGTGAGAAATATCTCACAAAAATACAAGACAGCAATAAGATCGAGTTTTGTGGACAACTTAGAATACAATTGATCATGTAATCACATGAACATTCACAAGAGTCCAAAAGTACATTACTAAACCAAAGATTCTTGAGATGCAAAACAAAAGAATGATCAGATAAAAGCTGTTGTCACTGTGAAATATGCCCATACAAAATGGCCTACATAAAAAAAAATATGATAGGAACAAAACAACAGACCTCCGCTCCCGACTGTATGAGACAGCTCCACTTTTGAAATTAAAATTTCCAAGTCTCAAAAGTAAGATGATCTTGTCTTTTACATATGAACTTAAAGTTAAAATACAAATTAACACAAACAAGTTGTGATCTCTAAAGACAGCATGGAAAGCAAATTCACTTTATGATAGGCTCCAAGTAAGTCAGATTTGAAGGTACATGATGAAGTTACGAGAACTTATACTCAAAACAATTATGCTGTATGCTGCTACTCTTTACTCCCCTTCCCTTATCCTTATCTTTCGCTCCGAGAACAGAAACAATACGTCCACTTGTCAGTGTTCATACCATTGAAAATGCAAAGTTAAAAAGTGGTAGAAGCTCATTTTTCATCAGAAGACTGCAGAACTGAACAATAGTTGTGAAATTTCAAAGAAAGCATACACGAACATCAACAATGAAAATGGTGAAATGGTGAAATGGTATAGGTTTAACACCCTTATCAACACTATTAGATCGTTTAAGAAGCGGCAACCTCCGTGTTTAACATTCATCTCCGACAGGACCGAGCCAAATGGGAAATTCATGTTAAGTGCCTTTCCCAATGTCGGACTGAGCTGACACTCAAACCCCTGAACCCACAATCTCACAATTACGGATCAGGTAGCCTATCCACAAGGCCACCGATGCCACTACAGCAACGGTTATCTTATAACAGTAAAAGTAAATCAATAGACAAAATATTAAACAGAGGAGTATAAAGTTAGACCTATCTCTGGCACCCTTCACACACCATTGACACTGAAACCTTTCACGAACCAGGAATTTAACTACAATAACTCCAACAGTCATGAACTGACTGCAAGGCTGTTCAGGTCTGGCATGACCACATTTAAGGGCGTTAAGAGTCAGAATGTTGTGAACAATCAAAGGATTCTGAAAGGCATAAAATACTGTTAAGTTGTACATTTCATAAAGAGAATAAATACAATATGGTACCCTGTTCTTTATTTTTACTTGGAAGGAACCTGGTATCTGTAACAGGATGATGGGAAATCTAAGCTACCACTAAATATCATAGTAGCTGTACCTGTTTGCAACACATAAGTCAAAACAAACATCAAGTCAGACATTTACATGGCGCTCATATGACTTTATGCAGTCGGGAGTGAGAGCGCCATAAAACCTCAACTAAAACAAACAAGACATTTACAATTGACTTTTGCATGACAACCAACTATACCACAAGAAAAAACAATGGAAAACGTCTTATTCAATTTTGGCAGCAACCTTAATCCCTCTAAAATTGTAAAAAAAAAATTAATTAATTTTTAAAAAAAGCTTGTCTTACCTAGATCTATATATATCTCTCAAAGAAATCTTGTTTTTTTTTGGTTTTTGTTGGACAACGCTTTAAGGGCTTATAAGATTAGTCAGAACAGAAAAATCCATTTCTACCCATGGCTCATAAGGACAGGACACCATAAGCTCCCGTAAACTTCTCACATTTAATACATACCTCAACATATGTAGAAAGTGTCTTAAGTTTAATGAAGAGAGTATTCTTAAATTTGAGGTATGGATTTTTTTAAAAGTATGAATACACTGTACACATTTCTTAAAAATTGTAATATCAATCACACAAAGTGAAATGGGCTGATCAGAAAGTCAAGACCTGGTGTGGGACACATATTTATAAGCTTTAACACATAACTTCCTTTGCATTCTGCAAGACAATTCATTACCGCAAACAATAATAAAGATAGTAACAAAAATATAGAATACTATTTAGTTCAAACAAAACCAACAACAAACACAATCAACAGCCATCTCAATTGTAAGCTCAAACTATATTTTGCTAGATTCTAAGTCAGTGTTTTCGGCTTCAAGCCTGAAAAAAAAAGAGGCAGGCAATCAGTTATACAAAAAAATACAAAAACATCTTCAGATCAATAATGATGGTTTGTAAGTCTTCGTAATAAAACAAACAGATATGCAAATTATCTTCTGCACAAATATGAGGACTGTTGATGATCCAGAGTATGAATAGTATGAAGCACAAAACATGTTGATATTACGTATCTCTCTGAATTCGGGAAACCTATTACTTAACCCTCCTAGTGTCGATGAATGATAAAATTGGCTGTAAGTTTCATTGTGGTGTCACGGCCAATCTAATAAACCATAATTTGAGTTGCTATTCTAGTTTGTTCATCCAATTTTTTAATGCCGAAAAAATTTCTTATTTCACCCCAAATGAGCTGTATTTCCTATTGACGTTCTCTTTTCTACAAATGTATCAGTTTATGACCTTTACTTGCTTGATTTTCCTGTTCTCAAGATCATTTTCCGTCATAACACGGTAAAATTGTATAACTTTCCCTGACACCACAGGCTATTTGTTAGTGACACTTGGAGGGTTAAAGAAAACAAAACAATACATAGATCATATTTCATGTATTTTGGCTGCTTCAACATCTATTAAAAGGGACATGCAAAAAAAAAAAAAAAAGAAAAGAAAAGAAAACCACCCAAAAAATCTACAAAAACACTCAAAATTCACTAAAACTAAAAGAGTATCAATCAACAAAATATATTAAAAGTACATTTACAGTAAAATAAAAGCAAGGGCAGGCATCCATCTCTACAAGCACAGGCTAGAAAGGTTGTCAGCAAGGGTAAGATGGGCTGAACCGAGTACTGCATACATTCTTAAATTATAAGAATAATCCAATACAGTGCATCCAGGAAAGTTGAACAAGTTAGCTATGACCATTTGGAATTCATTTGACTTAAACAGGTTCAGCTCGTGGGCTACAAATTGCCAAATTTCAGGGGAAATTTTGAAGCCATGAACAATACTACTACAATGTGATGTTTCACTCCAAGAACAATTGTCCAACAAACTGGTAGGCTTTATGGTTATCACATGAACAATCAATCACACAATCTGACAAGCTCGCTGCAAGAAACATTTCACAAATGAATATATATATAATATCAGATAAACTGATAACTTTTGATGCCAATGTAAACAGATTAAAAATTATCTAATAACCTTGTACATGCAATGTGATCAATTTTGCTAGAATAACATTGCCAACTTTTTCTCTCACTCAACTTGTTTTCGGCAATAAAACAGCAATATAGGTGGAAAAATAAACAAAGACAGTGCAAATAGCACACAAGAAGCTCTCGGAAGAAACAGCGACAGCCATGAATTTAAAAAAACAACTTCATGTCATATACAACATTAAAGGGCATTGATATAACGAGCATGTTTATAAATCAAGGGATTATAATTTAGCAACAAAAAAAAAAAAGAAGAAAAATAGAAAAAGGGTTTATATTCCGAATACTGAAGACCACACAATGATAACACTCAGTGTGACAAACAAAACATTTCTCCACTACAGTTAGCAATATATATAAAGGATGGCATAATACTTCACAATCACACTACCCACAATCATTCAATCTTTGCATTTATCCATGGTCACCATAACTCATTTCTGGACACAAATAACCAGCACTTTTTGTAAATTTTTTTTCCACATGGCCTTAACACTTTGCCATCACAAGGCTCAAGGCTCATATAGTAAAAACCCTTGCCATCAAATTCAAAGGTATTTTGGGGAAAATCCAAAGAAACTGGGTGGTAAACATCGCCGATCGACGAGATGTGGCGGCAAAGTGTTAAGGAAACGAAATGGAGTTCAAAGTTACAAAATTGAGCTAATTTTACACACACAACCTCTTTCAAACTGCCCTGAAAATAAAATGAAACATTTGTCTTTATTATCTTTAAGTACAGATAAGTAGTTTTAGTCAGTGAGTGTTATAGTGAAAAAAACTTTTAAAAAATGTATTCATATTAATATCTAATAGAACAAAGTGCTAAAGTTAAAGTTAAACTACACTGTTTTTGGTTTTTCTAGTTTTAAATGACCAGGAACAAAAAAAAATTATTAAAAAAAAAATAAAAAAATCCCAGTTTACCTTTATCTGGGGATTTCACAGTTTTCATTTTTAAAAAAACAACAACATCAATACTTATCACAAATCAAGAACCAGAGAATGTTAACAACATACCTTTTTTCTCTCTCCCCCTCCCAGAAAGCCTAGCAGTGTAGAGATATGGACAAATTCTCTACTTTGAGTAATCAATAGGATCAAACTTTATCTGACTTCATTTATCATCACAGCCTTAATGAACTGTGTTTAGTTCTACAATTCACTGGTGTTCAATAACCTCACCATATGAATACTAGGAGGATCTGATTGCATATTTGGCTACTTTAATTTTACAGGCATAGCTAAAACAAGACTAGACAAGGCAAGACTGGTTTGAGCATGAACAAGATTCTCACAAGTCGCATTGTCATTCCAGAAAAAAACCCCACTTAATTATCTGCAGTACAAAAAAGGGCGCCGCTCTTGAATTAACAGATTACAGAAGAAAATGTATCTGATTTAAAGGATTTCAAATAAGAGATTGTGTTCCTGTGATGACAGAGTAAAAAACCCTGAGTCATAGTGCACTGCACATGTTCAGTCTACCGTGTCATATGTGGAATCGTATGATCCTTGCTGCACTCTGGACACAGACCCAGCGCCTCCATTATTCTCCCCATTGTTGAGGAGAGCAATAGCTGAGGCCACGCCATACACGTTATCCACTGCAGGAGCAGGCATCTGCGCCTGATGTAAATGTGCATACACGCCATCTGAATCACCAGCATCAAAGTGTTTGGGAGGAACCAATGGCGGTGCAGCAAACTTGCAGTCCAAGTCCTCATAATCCTCCTCACTGTGAGGAGCGTTCTTTCCATTAGCCACCTTCTTAGGGTTCTTCTTCTCTGGTTGGGCATACACTGCGTCCACTGGATCGTCTTCATAGTCTGCACCTTGACTGACGGGATATGGCTTCAGAAAGGGGTGACTTCCCCAAGGTTCACTGTACACTTGGCCATCCTGCTGGTTGGGAATGCCAAGGTTGTGCTCATCAGTGTTCACTTGAGCTACACTATCAGCAGTGGCATACGCAGAATCGACATCGCTGTAAAGGTTGACAGAGGAAGTATCAACTGGCACAGTTTTCGCAGGCTTTTTCTCTTGCAGTTTGCTTTTCTCTTGCAGTTTGCTTTTCTCTGGCGGTTTGCTTTTCTCTGCTTTCTTTCTTTGCCTCTCATCCTCTTTCTGTTTTTTTCTCATCTTTTCTTCCTCTTTCTGAGCTTTCCTGGCTTCTTTTTTCATATTTTTCTGCTCTTTTTTCAGCTGAGATTTTGTTTTGTCTGTCTTACTGCTACTTTGTGTTGAATCCGAGGAAAGAGAGCTGTCAACAGAGCCTCTTTTCTGCTCCCCACCCTGCTGAAAGATGGCTTTGCTCAGTTCATTCTTGAACTTGTTGGATGGCTGGTTGGCATCACTTGGGTGTGAGTGGGATTGGCCAACATTCACTTTCGGGGGTGGGGCTGGAGGGGACACGGTATCAGACTTCTGTTTCCCAACCAATAATTTTGTTCTGGACGGTGATGTAGGAGTGATGCTGTCCTGAGAGGGTGGGGTCAAAGATGTGTCATCATCAGCATCACACATTCGGTGGGTCAGCACGGAAATTGCCTGAACAATCTGTTCACCTTGTGTGGTGTGAAAATTGAAATAACCTGCTCCAGTCTGACATCTGGACCCAGCATTAAAGAAAAATGAATGTTTTGAGTGTCCAAAGTCCCGCAGAAATTTGTAAGGCCATTCGGATACATCTGTTTCATCTTCAAATTGACACAACTTGAGTACCACAGGAGCCAGCACAAACTTGTACGCTCCATGGAGCCCGAGACGCAAGCAGCCTTCGCTGCTTTCAGCAAACACATCAAATTTTTTGACTGAAATACAAAACAACATAGCTGAGTGACAAACTGCAAACTGGAAAGAGACTTCAAAAAATGTTCTTTATTCCTCCACTTCAGCCCAGGGGCAGGAAACTGTACAACTAATACCTCAAGAAGCAACCCTGCCCCATACACAGGCTATCTCCTGACTGCAGGTAATGGGATACAGGATACGCTATGAAAATACACCTGTTCACTTATTAGTAAGTAATATATAAAAGAAACTGCCCTATTTTAGTTGAACCAATCAATGTCTTTTGAAACCTGAAAGGATTGAAATAGCTGAATTATCTGTAAAATGAGAAATTTTGCATGACAAGCTAGGATTGTTAGGAATCAACAAGCTGATGTTATTGTAGGTGAAACCTCAGTTATGAGAATGAGAAAAACTGACAGAAATTCAAAACATTAAATCAGGAACGAAATTACAGCAAAAACTGCATGAAGTGACTGTGGACAAATACAGGAAGATGGAAGAACTAATGAAATACTCTAAAGATAACACATAGCATCTGAGCTGGACTTCTTTGTCTGACTACTGGTCTTAAGAGTTGAGCAGGGGGCTCCCAAAGTCTAGAGGTACGGTACTCCCCTCTTATTCAATAGGTCCCGGGTTCGAAACCAGACAGCGGCGAAAATTTTCTTCTCTTAAAAATGTCTTACTTTCACTTCCTTTCCTGCTCTCTAACCAAACCATGTTCTGTCGTCTACTTTCGTCTCTACTTTCTGCCCCCCCCCCCTCAATATTTGCCCCTCCTCTGGGCTCCAGACTCTTTCTGCAGCCTTTCTACTGGTACTTCTTGGCTCCTTTTTACTGCTGTCTTTCAACCACACCCCTGATCTTATGGTAAGTAAGATCTAACACCTAGCCTTCTCAGATAAACGCAAAAAAATCTTGGAGGTCCTGTGTACAAGCAGTGCACATTAAAGATCCCTTTGCGGTCCTAATATCAGTAAAAGTTGGCTTCCGCAACAACTCAGGCAAAATTCAAAAGTAATTCCTACCAAACTGGAAATGTTTAATGTGTCTCATGCCCTCACATGACAAAATACGGTAGCGAGCATTGTTAAACTTACCAAAAATAAACATTTTTTAAAGCTGAGCATGCATGATAGAAGTGTCCACAGAGCAAAGGGCAACACCATGGTTCAGCACTATTTTCCTACCTATTGCTAAAGCACACCGAAGGGTGCCCTTAGGAAATTACCTGAACTCGGGGCTGCCTCATTCATTTTGGAGTATTTTGTACAGTTGAGTATTGCCTCAGCCATTCCCATTTAACCTATTACGGGGTTTGGAATATCATATAAAAGAGACCGCATTAAAATGATTGCCATTGAAATAACTGTTCACAGCTTACAATGACCATGCACTGTGAAGAAATTGGTAGTAACTCATCTGTCAAAGTCTGACGATGACCAATACATCAGCGCCACGAAAAAGAATATTTCTCCAGCAAAATATAAGAATTTGAAGAATTAAAGGTTAGGATGACTTGTGGCTTCTGCAGTGGCTAATGAGACCAATTCTGGCAGAGAAAAATTTGCCCCATTTTGAACATGTCAAATCAGTTTAAAAAAAAACAATTTTACTATGATGGTGGGAGCAATTTCTGCTGCAAGAATTCCAGTTGGTAAGTCTTTCCAGATCTCTGTAGTCTTGGATCAGACTTTCTTTTTTCTGTATCTTTTCTGTTGACTTTCTCCTTTTCTTTATTGTGGCTTATCTATGCTCCATATTTTCAGCATGTTCTTCTTTTGTGTCTGTGACAGAGCCTCCAAAGAGAAGGACACCTTTTTAGTCGCACTTGAGCAAGGAGTTTGTGAGGGTTTCCAGTTCCCAGTAGAAAATGGATGAAGTAGTCGCCGCTTCTTAATAAACGATGTGGCCTGCTGTTTTCTCCAGTCTAGCCAGAGCTCTTCTCAATACGAATGTCTGAACATGCACCATGTCTGTTCATATGGCGCTTCGAGGTTGTGCTCAGATGGTGGTGAATGTAGATTCTGCTGACAGACATTGGTTGTCCATCTCGATTTACTGCCAGTCTTGCAGCAGCACCATGTGAAATAACATTTCCGCTCCATGTCACGATGGAACACCTGTCTACTGATCATTAGACGCGGAGCCCCCTGTTTCATCCTGATGACTTCCATAAATTTTTAGTTAGCAAAGTACGCGAGCAGACAGTTATTTTAAACATGTTCAGTGAGTCTCAGTTCAAAATTGTTTTTTTCAGTCCAATGAGTAACTGACTCAGATCCATATTTCCAGTTTTTCCACTGCATAGCTGAGCTTTAACTTGGTCTTCCATTTGTTGGACTTGGAAGTATGGGAATAAAACTTTCTGAGTAGAAGTACAGGAATTACTTTTTTCTCTGAGTCAGGTAAAGTGGCACTGAAAACTGGATAGTGCTTGCTATAGGAAAACTGTCGGCAACAGTTCTAAATCATGGTCAGTCAAGTGTGACTAGTGCTGAATCGTGGTGCTCCCGCACAAGGAGACTGATTTTTAACTATGCACACACTAACAAGTAACAGCTCATTGACAGAACCTCAGAAGTGGAACTATTTGCAAATCCTCTTTCTATTTCAAGCATGTCTTACAGTACAAGAATTTTTTTAAAAAGCATGTTAGTGTTCTATAAGTATGTTCAGTGGAGTCCTCTTAAACCAAACATGGCTAATTAATTCCAAAAACAGTAGTACATTTGAAAAAACAAAAATCTCGGGGGGGGGGTCCTATTTGACCAACCTCCCTAACCAGAAAATCTGACAAAACTAAAGAAATTTGTGTGGTCCTGCAGATATTGGTTTAAGCGGACTCCACTGTGTGTGTGTGTGTGCAATACATACATACATATATAAATATATTTATATCTTCCCTCTGAACTTCATTTATGCAATGTGCTTTCCACTTTATTTTAAAAAAATATAAACTTTACACAAATGCCTCTGGCATAAACTACTGGATTGATAACAACAATAAATATTAACTTGGACTTTTAGAGCATCAAAAGGAGTGGCACACCTCTATCACACAATAGGCATGACCTCTATCATAATTAAAACCAGAGAGATACGATATACTTACTAAATGAGGCTGGACTTGATGAGTAGAGGACATTCTGCTCCACCACATATTCTTCATCTAAGTGACTGACTTTGTCTGATTTCATGCCTAGTGACGGATACACAATATGTCTTGTGTCAAACAAGTTCCCACTCAGGCAACACAGAGCTACTGCCCAGTACTTTCGTTCTTTTTGAGAGGCAGTGAAGAATGTGCAAGTCTTGCCCTTAACATCTAAAGCAAAGGCAGGATCGACAACATCAACAGGAATCCATTTAGCGTCTTCTATGAAGAGAGATTTTTTGCAGTTCCCAGGGGGCCGTGAAGCCTCTTTGTTTTCATACAGGTCAATCCGTGGCGCCCAATTGCCTCTGCCAGAGTACAGTACGCAATAGAAATTGGGGTACGACTTGGCCTGTAAAGGAGGAGGGAGGGGATTGCAATCAGTCTAAACAGCAAATGAGTTACATGCTAGTTGTTGATTAGTAAGGGTTTTACGGTGCTCGCAGCTGCATAAGGTCATATGGCGAGAAACAAGTTGGTTTTACTCGCAATAGTTCACCGCACTGCCTGATTTTGGTCAACATTTCTAATTAAAATGTTAAAATGCAAAAAATTTGATGTGAATAAATTTATAATTTAAAGTAATTTTCTAAATAACATTAAAAATTTTAACAGTTCCATTTACAATTTCCCATAAAGGCCAATGGCCTTTATAAAATCCAGAATTCTGTTGGGATCAACGACGGAAAACAGACCTTGCAATTTTTTGCATCTAAAATATTTCCTTCGGGTCTCTCCTAAGTCTAGACATTCTGTTAGAATGTGTCTAATGATTACATGCTAGAAAACAAGCAAACAATACAAAGCTTAAGAAACAGACTCACAAAGTTGGACATCACATTGTTAACACTCTTAATTTTAAATACAAGAAATCAACAAAATTTACGTAAAACAGTTTGGAACTCCACTATACATTCAGGACACAGCAGACATCGGCAATACAAAGAGTTTTAGGCGTAAGTCATATCAAAAAGAAAGTAAAAATAAATAAGCAAGGATACCCCTTGCCAATCTTAAAATTTTTTAATCAATTAAACAAGAATATACAATTTCATCCAAACAATTTTGATACATACCACAGATCCCAGACTTTGGGAAACTTTCACACAGAGGCCAAAAAGAGCACACAATCAGTACCACACACAACAAAGACACAGCCTACGGAAGTATGCTTATACTTCCTGGTGCTGCCTATGATAACAGCACAAAGCAACACTCAAGCGCACTTCAGATCCAAACATTACTGTAAACATTCTAACTTTATGCGCGCATGCCAGCTTGTGTGAGTGTTTGTGTGCGTGTGGGTGTGTGAGGGTGTATGTGTGTGTGTGTGTGTGTGTGTGTGTGTGTGGGTTTTTTTTAAAATAGTTTTAGTAATACAAGTTTTACGGCACTTGCAACACAATAAGGTCATATAAGTGCAGAAGATTAGAGGTGTTATAAGAGAGTAACAAACACAAAAAGGAGGGGAGATAAGGACGATAGATGTTTGATAGGAAAGAAGAAGCAAACAGCACCAGAGCACCCGCCAATCACTCACTTGTTTGTGTGTGTGTGTGTGTGGGGGGGGTGACAGAGAGAGAGAGAGAGAGAGAGAGAGAGAGAGAGAGAGAGAGAGAGAGAGAGAGAAGGAAGAGAGAGAGAGAGAGAGAGAGAGAGAGAGAGAGAGAGAGAGAAAGGGGGGGGTCTAGAGGAGAGAAGGTGAATGCAAAGTGACAGAGAAAAAAAAATTATTATACTATTACTACATGTATACTGGGTGTCTAAAAAATGATGACTTATTAATTAAAGGGCAATAGCTTGGTAATCTTTGGACCAATTTTAACGAAACTTTGGAAAATAAAATTCAAGCACGCGGACGTTACCCTTGTCAGTATGAAACAAATCAACTGATACCGTATGTTACAACAAAAATATTGTCTTTAAAAATTCAACCAAAACTGGGGAAAAGGCAAAACTTTGCAACTTCATAAAAACCATAGACATTGTTCTGTTACAAAAGAGTCACTTCTTGTGCACTGAAGAACAAATATAATAAATACAAAATTGATGTTTGTCGAATATGTAGATTGACTTTCTTCATATTTATGATGCTAACATCCCCCTGGTTGAACTTTATTTCTTCTACGTTTTGTAGAAAGTAGTGCAAAGATGACAGAGTTATTGACCTTTATTTAAGTAAGTGGGTTCTCTTTTTTTTTGGGGGGGGGGGACACCTTGCATATACATAATACATATATTCTTTTGAAGACCCTCTGCTCTCATTAACCCCTATCCAATGAGCATACATGACAACCCACGTGCCCTTTGACTCCCTCTCTCTCTCCTTCGCCCCCACCCCCTCACCCCCACTCTCTTTCGTTCGCTCCTACCTCCCTTCTGAGCTTGCAGTGTGATGGGAGAACTCTTCAGAAAATATTATTTAGACCTAGATCTACATTTTTCTGTACACTGCAGTACCACACCAACTCAAATCACTTCCTGGTGTGCACTTGAAATATTTACAGTAACATGTTGCCAACATTCGAGCAAAGGGGTTGTTGACTGATAAGCACATTTATTAAAATATAAGTATGCATTATATCCACTTGACAGCACATTTAAAAAATGCTATCCTAAAAGTGGGTTCGTTTATGCCGAACAGCACTTTCATGTCATAGGAACATTTATAATAATATATGTATAGATCTTAGCACATGGGATTATACACACACAGCACGTAAGTAGACCTCGGTATTCTTTTACTTTTCCTCCGGTCTGACACTTAACTACCACTTGTCCATTTCCTACTAAATAATGACGCGCTGAACACGAATATCAACTTCATTTCCGTCGCAAATTAATTGTTTTTGAAATATTTGATTTTTCTCAATCGACCTATATTACACTAAATCTAGAATGGGGGTTTACAGGGGGGCATGCCCCCCCCCCCCCTGTTTTAACCCATAATTTGATATTTTACAGTTAGGTTTGAAATTTTCTTGATAATAATTGTTTTGCGACAGTCTTTGTGGCTTTATGTGTGATCTGCAGCAAACAATACTGTAGTTTGACCCCTGAAGCAGTACATCTGTGTGCGAGAATGACAGTAAAAATTTACCTAGACCTCATTTCTCCTATCCGCCCTCTTAATTAGCCCAGCATTACAGAGGGTGTCCCAGATATCGCGCATCAATCCTGAAAACGTTCTTCATGAAAAGGTCGCGAACCGAGGGCCAAAAGATCACTCCTGACACACTCAAATGTGCTCAAACATTTTTTAAAAGTTTTCATGAGACAGTCCATGCTTATTTTGCTCCGGAGGGAGCTTAGTTCGGACGTTATTATAAAGTGGTACAGGCAGACATGTAGCCTATAGGTCGAGTTGTTTTTGATGAAAACCAGAATAGTGCCCGCGTTTTGGGACACCCTGTAACTAACATAAACACAGCGTATGCATGTCAAGGGGGAGGATACCCGCGTCTGTCGTGTTGCAATGAGGTTCTTTGCCCTTGCACTAGCACACAGAATAGGCCTACCTAAGCATTATTCCGGAGGGAGGGACGTTGTTGTTGTTTTTTGTAGTTTATTTTTCAATCGAAAAAAATATTTACGTCTGCCGGGATGTTATATGCCTCTCAGGCAGGGTCAAAGGTCAAAAGTTATGTAATCTGCCTCCAACAGGATCTCTACATTATGACTATGTATTGGTCACACACACAATATGCGCGTGCACACACTACACACACAGACAACACAAACACACACACACACGCATACACCAAGAGAGACACAGAGAGAGAGACACAGAGAGAGAAAGAGAGAAAGAGAGAACGAGAGAGAGAGAGAGAGAGAGAGAGAGAGACAGCAAGACTGAGAGAGAGACAGCGAGAATGAGAGAGAGAGGGGGGAGGGAGGGAGGGAGAGAGAGAGAGAGAGAGAGAGAGAGAGAGAGAGAGAGAGAGAGAGAGAGGGAGACAGAGAGAGAGAAGGAACTGCATAACACAAGGCCGATTAGTATCAGCTGTTCTCAAAATTAATGTCTCCATTGATTCAAAAACGTGGAGAACTTTCACAACTTTCCAAATCTGGATAAAAGTAAAAGAAGCAGATTGATGAAGGCGTTCAACTTTCTTTTTCACCACCTCGACATCGACACCATAATGGTCACCAATAAAGTGGATTCTCTTTATTTTAAACCTTCCACCTGGAATATCTGCGGGTGGCTGGCTGGTGCTCTGGCGTGGCTTTCCCCCCTTTTCAAATTACACATTCGTCCTTATGTATCTCCTACTTTTTAATATTTGTTACTCTCTTGCATCACCCCTAATCTTTGGCACCTAATTGTGACCTTATCGTGTTGCAAGTGCCGTAAAAATCCAGCTAAAGCTAAACCGTTACAAAATTTTCTGCGATGATCAGAAAGAAGAATGCCTTGGCGGCCTGGCCTTTTAGCTAAAGCTACAAAACAACACAACAGCGAATCTAGTTTAGTTTAGTTTTCGTAGGTTTTACGGGGAGATAAGGACGATAGATGTTTGATAGGAAAGAAGAAGCAAACCACACCAGAGCACCCGCCAACCACCCACACAGCGAATCTAACAGAATACAATGCAAATCATGAAGTAAAATATAAGGGGCACTATGGCCTGTTAAAAAGGCGTGTCCAATGCCTTTTGAATTTCCCCAACACTAAAGGACAGTGAATAAAGCTACGAGTACTGTGGGTTCGTAAACGTAGTTTTTTTTTTTCAAGAAGAAAAAAAAAACAAGTAAACAACACTAATTTCTTTCCATCTACTTTTTAACAGAACAGAGAACAAAATATCAAGCGCAATACATCGTAGGACAGGAAGACACCCCCCCCCAAAAAAAAAAAAAAGGAAAGGAAAGAAAAGAAAGGAAAAACAAACGAGCATGGGTCAAACAAGGCTGGCAAATAGTACGCGTAGATTGCTTGAATAGTTCATTCTGGGTTATTTAGTAGACCGCAGATTTCCTCAACCCCGATCTCGCACAACCCTGCGTTTCCGCGATGACCTTTCGATGACCCTAATGATGGCGATATAATGAAATTTCCGCGTACGTTTGCGGGAATAGTCAATAGAAGGCCTACTCTTAGGCGCTAACGCAAACATCTAACAGCAAGTCATCGAAAGCCGACCATCCTCAAAGCGATAGGTCGGGGGTACGCCGTTTGCGAGCAGCCTGCTCACCATAATTTGGGAGACGTAGTATTAGGCTACACATAGGTAGGCCTATCAGTGGTGACAAACTGAATAATGTATTAAGTGCCGGTTTAGATGGAAAAGCTAACTGTGCAATGGCATTCCACCCTAAGTCCCACCCAATCAACCACAGTCTACTCAATTA